TTCACAGTGCATCACGTGGCACGCATTTATTACTCAAAATATTTAACATCGAGGTAAAAACAGAATGCGCACAAAAGATATGTACAAGCAGAATGGAATACTGTAAAATGCGACTTTTTAGCGTTAACAAAACGATGGACAACGTTCAACAAACACACTTATGATGAGGAGGCTCAATCTTTCATAGAAAACAGTGACAGTTACCGTAATACGAGATCGACCGCGATTTCACCGACAACTCTGATACTTTTACTTGAGATTGAGAGAAAAAGAACACACGAACAGAGGCAATCGAGAATAAGGACGCTGACGCCCAACTTTCCTAAGCTCTCTTTCCGAAGTGAGTCACAGCAACCTCTTTGCCCACCATCAATATGATATGTAACAGAGCATTATCACTTCACTAAAATCCCATAGACAAGCCTGCTCTCATTTTTGCGGAAACATGATGGGCCTTTTATGTTCGCTCTGCCCTTTTTGGGAAACACTGATTTTTCAACCAGTCTTTTTTATAAATCATATAACAAAACAACCGATTTTTCAATTTCTTTCTTTTTCGATTCTAGGGCAGAAAGGGCGGAAGTGGTGCAAAGGCAAGGGGCGCTGCTAACCACGCGCACGGTCCAGGAACCAAACCACAGATGATTACGCCGCTCGGACCAACCAAGCCTTTCATCTATTCGGTAATGAGTCGGCACCAGACTTGTATGGTAGAATAAAAACTTGTAAGTCTACTACACCCTGCAAGTCATTGTATGGGTCAAATCGCATTTAGATGTAACTGCTATTCTGAATAGTAGAATTCATGGCGTATACCGAAGAGGGATCAAGCAACGCCGAATGTTGAACCCTTCACCCTTGCCCAACCATTTTGATTTCTCGAAATTATATGAATTGAAATTAAGAGCTGAATTAAGGTGAAACGAAGCCCCAGTAGCGTGACAGGTAGCACAACTGCCTGAGAAACGAGAGGTGCGGCTTTGCTTCCGCTTCAGGCGAAGTGTTTTGTTTTGCCCATAAGGTACATCTTTGTGAAAATCACTGGGTTGAGAGATTACGGTGTCATAGTCAAGGTTTCAGGACTTACTAATGCGCTCGCTTTGCTAAGAGGGCTCATTTTTGGGCAGCGTATGGGATTTGAAGGCAGTGAACACGATGGGTGGAGGGTGGAGCTGTTCTGATGACGTCGTTGGCGGTCTAAACGCCTTTCCATCAATCACACTCAATGAGGCCTCCAAAATCGCTCCGCCCTTCAGCCATCGCATGCTCTCTCTTAAGGTTAAGGTCTTAAGGTACAAAAATGTTCCCGAAAAATAGGATGATCCCAAGTGACCATAAAGAGTGGCGCCACTAAAGAAACATTGGGGTGTCACGCAAGATTAACTTGTCCAATATGGTTCACATTGAAGGAGTAAACATCGTCCAGAGAAACAAAAGACCCATAAACAAAAAAGACGTAGTGAACACACAATACTTATTTCTCGATCAACTTCCATAGCATCTAAACCAGCAGGCTTCTCGGGAGCAATACACCGCCGCAGCTCCGACCTATCGTATAATGAAGATGACGACAGATAGGATTAGCAGAGCGCGCGCTCGTGGTGATCGTCGCAACGACTTGGGCACCTCAGCAGAATGACTTGACTACTTTGCTCATCAACTTCTACATCGAATGGCTGTTCGCATCAGGAGGATCTCCTAGTCCCGCTTCGTCTCCACAAAACCTTGCGAAAATTCAAGCCTCAGTTTTTGAGTTTTATTGTTGAGACTTCACCTTACCTCTTTTACAGCTGTCAGAAAAGCATCTTCTATCTTAGGATAGGACTCCACTTTCGGTAAGTCTGCAATAAGATCATTTATGGATCAGAAAAAAAAGATGATAGAGTGCATTGTGGATAGTGATTTCAAGAAAGCGTTGTTTCGAAAACGCTTCGTAATGTGTGCAAATCCAGGTTGCTGGAACAATACGCACTCTATCAGAAAACGTCACTCCCGTAGCGGCCGCATTCAAATCAGCAAAACGCCACAGCGAGCAATCCTTACCCCATTCAGCTTTCTAGCTGTACGGCTACCTCACACCTGCGAACAAGTTCATGGACTCATTTTTCTTACAAACTACTGCTAGAACTCTCCCTGAAATGAAGACCATCCTCAAGGTGTACAGGATAGGGGACTGTGGTAAAAATTCAGGTTACAGTTGCCCTTTCCCTCTCAACTAGGACAAAGCTGGCTGGATGATATAAAGCGGCTGATTCTGGTCTGAAGCGTAAAGTTTGCTTGAGCTCATCTGTCGGTACATTTACTGGTATAAACGTGAGCTGAGGTTCACATCCATCATTAAATTCGTGTTGAGCATTATAAGGAATCGTGCTTGAATCGCCGGGAAACGGGTGCTATTTTAGGGTCAACCTAAGCAGCTTAAGAATTCAAGACATATCAAGGAATCCAGAAATAACTTGGGAAGGAATGCTTTCAGTAGTTCAGTGACCCTATCCTATTTGGGGTTTTTGAGCAGTAGAGTGAAGGGTGCTGAGGTTAATGAGGTAGGGTGTGGGATCGTATTTCAAATTTTCCGCACAACAGTGTCTGACCTTGCTTCGAACCTATGTAAACCGGGAAACACTTTCGCTTCGTTTTGAGGGCTTGTCCCTCTCATTCTTCCCATTTTAGTAAAGGAAGATAAAAACCGTAGACCAAAGAGCGCAAGACAAATGTTTTGACATACATGCTCCGGTGAATTCGGATTCGTTGCGCGTGAAGGATACTGCCAAGTTACAGCGTCTCGCATAATATCATGACAGGATGTTGTACTTCCCAATCCACAAAGACAGAAATAGATTGCCAACGAGGCACCCTTGCAAAGAGATAGCACGCTGGAATAAAAAACATTCAACAGTACGTCTCTGTAAACTATCAAACAGCTTTAGGTCTGGAAAATCACGGATGCATATGGAACATCGACTTGAACTAGAAATAATTTCTATACCTCAGAAAAAAACCACAAAATTATAACTGCTAGTGGTCGATTGGCGTAGGTCGGGGCCTATTTAGGAGTGCGATGTCTCACTACCATTTACAATTGCGGAGACAATCTGAGATGCATTTACCCTAACCAGGGAAAGCTAACGGTGTCTTTCAGATCGTGCCGTACTTTTTCAAAACCGTATTTTGCATTACATGTGCACGTGCGTAGAACATGAAACAATGGATGTTCCTTTTCTCCTGAGCGGTCCTCTGAATGACAAAAAAAATGCATGAAGAATAGGTTCATGATTCGATCCCCCGTGGTGACAAAATTTTGCATCTTCGATTGGCACTTGCGTTACGTCGCAAAATGGCGCCCGCGGCTGATAGTGAATGCCATATCACCATCAAGGCCATCAGTGGGCCATATGAGTAGTTCTTTGCCTAAAAATGTCAAAAAGGTAGGAAGCCTGAGCATTTTTAAGCCTTTTCTTGGCATCCAGTAATCCGTTCAGGAAAAATAAGCCATAGATCCGTCTTCCATGGATGCACCTCCACATCATGCAAAAAACAGTTTCCAAAAAGCGGGGCGCGACCTGAAAGACCTCCTTGATAACAAAAAAAATGTCTCGCAGGGTAAGCCGTGTAAGACCATTGTGACAGTTGGAGCAGACGTGTTGTCAATTTTAGCTATTTTCAACACTACACATGCAACTGTGGAAGCCATTGTAAGCGCAAGCGTTTAATGAAACAATGCAAACTAATCGACTGTCATTGCCGGAAAGACCTTTTGTGAGATTTGTTTGCTCGCTTGTCAGCTGCCATCTATTCTCGACGAACTACACCAGTCTGACTAGTATTAAACATTTTTATCGGATTTCTTCGTAAAATGGATTTCAAACGGAGAAACTGCTGTGTACACGAGCGGATTTTCTTTCCAGCAAGGCCTTGTATCTTTGGTAATGTATTGCTTTCTGCTTTATCTTTCCCTTAGTAAAAATGTTGGGCGCTATCGCAATATACGGGGCATTGCGGCGGCACTGCATTTAAGATCGCGTAAAACGCGTCATTGTTGTTGTGAACGGGACTAAGCCTTAGGCGAGGTTTGAGAAACTCCATGCGTTAGCCATTTTCATTTTCCCTGGAGCTCCTGCCCCTCCTAGGCTCGGTCCTAGAGGTTGCCCCCGTATATTACGATAGCGCCATATGTTGCCTATGATTCCACCTTGAAGGCACCATCCACAAAATGTGATTATTTCACTTGAAAGTTGGTGACGTTCCCCCTCTAAAGGCTAAATGTGAACCAAAGTTGGGATTAAACCCATTTCTGAGCAAGCAATACGATAGCTACCTTAAAGGCAAAAGTCGGGCTCAATAAGGGGGTATTATGGCGATTGAAACTGAGTATAGAGATGCGAAGTGGAACGACAGTGGAGAAAAAACTGAGAAAAACCGTCGACAAGGCCGTTAACCAAAACCCTC